AACCCTCTGCCCTGAGCCCCCCCCCCCCGCCACCTATTAACTCCTGCCCTGTGCAATCATTTAAATAAAGCATGTATGCTTTTCTTTTAATTTCCAAAAATAAAAACCCAGTACAGTTAAGGACCCAAGTAATACTGGGTTCACCAGTTAGTAAACTATCCCTGCCTCATCCCCCGCAAAATATATTCAATCTCTCTCACCAATCTTCATTGGGATCTGAGGCTATGTCTACACTGTAGCATTTTGTCAGCAGAGGAAATGCAAATGAAGTGCTCATTAGCATTTCTCATGCTCTCATTTGCATAGTCTCTTCTGATCCATGATGCAGAAGAGGTTTTTGTGGAAAAAAACGCAGTGTAGACGGGGCCATTTTGCACAAAAAAAACCCCTTTTGCGCAAGATCCCTTATCCCTCAAAAAAGGAGGTCTACAGGATCTTGCGCAAAATGGCCCCATCTACACCGCGATACTTCCAATTTAGTATATGCATGAGACGTGAGAGGAGGAGGAAAACCGTGCCACTTCCCTGCTTGGCGGGCCTGTACTGTAATCTCCACAGACACAAGAAAATGTGATAAATTATACACACATACCAATAAAGTTGTCATGCAGTTATCTGTACTGTACACATTAATTGATCTTATAAACCAAGAGACTTCAAAGGCCAACTAATGTTTTTATAAATAAAGCTATTTATTAGCAATGCAGAACTAGTCTGTTATGCCCATGAATCAGTATATTCAAAGTAAACTAGCAGATATGTGAGGCATAGTTGAATTTTGGCTTGCCTAGTACCTCAGAGGCAACACTGTTGCTTTGACTCTTTGGAAGCCTTTATTTGCTCTTGTTTATGTACTCTGGAAGAGTTTACTTTTGTTTCTAAAGTCTTGGTTCCAGTTAAAATACCATCTTAACAGTCAATCAGTCGTACAGCATTGATTTCTTTAAACATGAAGATGAACAGTGTAAGTAATTTCATATGGCACTTTGTTCCCAGGGAGAATGAATTTCCTCTGTGAGCATTACATAATAGGCAGGAAAAGCACTCCGGAGTCCAGAGCAGCAGAGCAATTTTTTTATTCAATTTTAAACTGAAAATCTGCTTTTTTACACACCGGTAAATATCCTGCAGTGAATTGAACTCCACTAAACTCAATGGAGTTTGTTTAATTTAACATCAGTTAAATAGGAGCAGAATTCAGTCCAATATTGTAAAAATTCTAGATAATGTTAATTGAGGCACTTGGGGAGCCACTTATAGTACATAACATCTTTACTGAATCTACACATTTATGAATGCTTTTATATGCTGGGAGGTAGATTCAGCAAAGTAAAACTTTCATAGTTGCTGATACAAAAAGTTGCCTAAATGCATGTACATTTGTACTGGAAGATTTGGCCGGCATTTCTTTGGTCCTTCAGGGCAGAAGCCTGGAGGTGTAGGGGAGTGCAGGAGTCATGGTAGGATCTTGGGTCTATGGGGAGGCTAAGAGCAGGAGTTGGTGGGTTAGGGGGTACAGGAGTCAGGGTTGGAGAGTGAGGAGTGTATCAGAACAGGGGTGAGGGTGCAGCAGCCAGAGCAGGATCTGGGAGGCATGGGGGTGCCAGGGAGGGATAGAGAGTGCGGAGGTGAGGGGGCTCAGGGCAGCGTTGGGAGCGGCTGGTTGCTCCCAGGGCAAACGAACAGAGGGATGGACAGACAGACTGATGTACATTTCTAAAATGTACAGTAAGATCATCTAATGTATACAGGCAGTCCCCGGGTTACATGGATCCGACTTACATTGGATCCCTACTTACAAACGGGGTGAGGCAACCCTGCACTAGCTGCTTCCCCCCAGCAGACCAGGGAGACGCGAAGCTAGCGCCCACCCCAGCAGACCAGGGAGACGCGGAGCGGCTTTTCTCAGCAGACACCTCAGCTTGAGAATAAAGGACTGAGGGAAGTGAGGTGTGGGAGAATAAAACTGAGCTCTGGAGAAATGTTTGGCTAGAGTTTCCCCTACAATATGTACCAGTTGCGACTTACATACAAATTGAACTTAAGTCCCTATCTTGTACATAACCTGGGGACTGCCTGTAGTAAGATAATCCAAATACAAAGGAAAAGAGAATTAACAAAGGAAAATTCAGAATTGCTCCATTTATCTAAGGCTAAAACGAAACTCAGAGTACCTTTACTGTCACTTCTGCAAATCTTAACACTTTATCACAAATGATAGCCATTCTAAAATCTATTGTTTACCCATTTTAACTCACATGTCTATACCAATATGGAAGAGATCTTGATCACTGTTGCCTATAGAATTGTTAGGGGAAAATAGGAAAAGTTTAACAAAATGACAGCTCAGCTAAACTGACTTAATTCATCTGCATTAAAAAGCTTCAGCAGAAAAGTATCTTCGTGAATATGGACAACAAGATCATCAATGCTAAATCTTTCTTGCTCATTTTGCTTTTTTTGGGTAATGTTCCCTCTATTTTTTTCCATCCATGTGAGGGATACATTTTGTTATGTGCACTACGGCATATGCTCATGTGCACCACCACTAGAAACTGTGGGTGCTCTGCTAATCACCTGGGCAGCATTTGAATCTCTCCTGGGTGCCACCTAATGCTCAGCGTATTGGCAACACTGTTTACTACTATAGTCTCTATTTAACATTCCATCTTCTGTTACTTATGATCATTTTAGGAGAGCCAATACAAATCTTGACATTTGAATTCCACCTCCATGCAAAATCCCATATTAATACAATGGAATTATTGACCAAGAAAGGAGTTTGGAATTGGGACAATACTCAGTAAAAGTTGGCAAAATGAATATGCATTGGTTAGTGCTCCATAAGAACCTACAGGATGGAATGGCTCACTTTACTCACTGGGAGGAGTCAGGTTAATAGCATTCTACCTTGTTCTAAAATGGGAAAGGGCACATTATATTACCTGCTAATGGCCAGGTTGCTAGAGCACAGGTATTTTCTAGTCTTTTCAGATGAGTGATAGCCAAGTCAAAAAATAAACACCCATTTCCCAAAGACTGTGGGCTAATCAAACGCCCCATGGGAAAGTCTTACGCTTATAAAGATTTGCATGAAATCCTGAGTTATCAAACCAGTAGGATAAAATTCTAAATAATTTGCATGGCTATAGCACCTGTCTTCCTGTTTGCCTTGCTAATGACGACTGCACTCCGTACTCTGTGGGCCTGTGCTAACTTTGCACCAGAACTCTAGAGATAGCTCGTAGGGCTGAAAAGCACATCCTCAAAATGATTGCCACACCTTTCAGCTAACGTATCTCCAGTAGCAATCGGTTTCTTTTTGCTTGGGAACAATACCTACTGGAGACACCGATTCAATAACATGCTTCCCATTTGAACTGGGTTTGCAGCTTCATTTAATCTCATACACACATTGGTTGCTACAGCACCACGTCCCAGACTCCATGGTGCAACTCTTAGAGGGCATGTCTACACTAGCCCCCTAGTTCGAACTAGGGAGGCTAATGTAGGCATTCGAAGTTGCAAATGAAGCCCGGGATTTAAATATCCCGGGCTTTATTTGCATCTTCCCGTCCGGGCACCATTTTTAAATCCCCTTAGTTCGTACTTCCTCTTCCAGTCATCTTCTCCTAGAAATTGTCTCTGTCCAGAAACCAGGATGGGCAGGACCTGAGCCAGAAACATCTTTTTCTAAGCATATGACATAGCTATAAGGAACGCTCTTGTGCTTTCAAGGTTAGATGTATGTTAGGTACTTTTCAAAGGTTTTTATGGCTCCCCATGAACTCTGTGATAGGAATGGATACAAGACATAGTGACCAATTTAGTAGGGGTGGTCTAGATGATTCTTGGTGCTACCATGAGCTCAGTTCTATGATGCTATGATTAAAACAGAGCCTCCAAACTATTTTAGGAGTGTTTTTCTCTAACATATCACATGCTACGTATGTGACACTGAAATCAGTTGTAGAAGTTTTGTTCTCTTCCGGGTTGAGCTGCTTAACTCATGAACAATGTTGCTCATCGTTTATGAGTAATGTAGCCATCCCAGATGCATGCCAGCAGAACTTGTCCACTGCTTCACGCCCTGTATATATAAAACCAACAGTTGACCAGATTCTGCTCAGTGACACTGATGGCAACTGGGGTTGTTCTGGTCTCACTGTGATCACTTTTATATTATCAGGTAAATGGCTTGTGTAAAGTTCTGAGTGACATGCAGTGGGGCTGCCAGCCACCATGGGCATCAGGGCAAGCTGTTAGGGGGCAGCTCCGACCCCCAGAAGGGGCGGGGTCTTGGCAGAATGGGCAGAGCCTTGGTGTAAGGGGCGGGGCCTCAGTCAGAATTTAGTGCCGGCCAAGACCGTGGTGCTCACACACAGCCATCAGAGCCATGCAGAGTGGTGCTCGAGCACTCCAGTGGCAGTTCAAAGAGGCCTGGGGTTGCAGTGGTGGTGAATGGAAATTCCAGAAGTCTTTGAATCTCCAGGCCCCAGGGCACTTGCACCATTTGCCCGCCTCCTGATAGGTGGGCCTGACATGGAAACTGAGGTGCTGTAAGTGCCTTTACATAGTAGCTGTGTGAGAAGCAGTACTGTGTTAGGGAGGTAAGTAAAGTAATTCATCAATCAGTCTTTATGGACTGATCCAAAATCCTTTGAAGTCATTGGGAATCTTTCAGTCAAGCCCTCTGAGATTGAGCTGATAATAGAGGAAAAACTTCCCATCATGAAACTTGAGACCCTGGACTCTTCATTTCAAATCATTTTTAAATATGCATCCCAAATAAACAATTGCAACATAGTGAAGAAAACTGCAGGCACGAGCCTTCCCTTACTCATAGAATGTATAAAGCAACTACAGAAGGGTTCTGGAAATGAGGAAGCCGTTCCCCATACAGTTAATGAAAAGAAGCTGGAAACGCAAGGTACAGTGCATTGTCTAACATTTCATTCCTGTTCCTAGTGACGCCTTGTTGCCTAACTTGTTATTTATGGCTTTGCGTGGCGGACGATCAAGTCTGTTTATAAAATGTGGCTGCTGAGATGCAGAACTGCATTTTGCTCTGAGGCACAGAGGACCTGAGTGGGCTGCTATTTCCTTTTCAGCACTGCCTGACCCCAGATTGTTTCGAAGGAGGGCTCTCTCTCACACACATTCTGAGAGGGGTGTTAACAAAACACATGCAGACTTTTCTTAGAGAGTAACTTTAAGCATCCAGTCTAAGAAGAGAAAGCTGGGAGAACTGAGTTCTCAGTCCGCTGGGATTTTTTTAAAGGCTGTTGGATCTTAATGGACTAAAAGTGCCTCTGTGGATTTGATAGCCAGGATGGCATATCCAGGGAAATCTCGTCTGAGGAGATCCTTCAGTGAGCATATCAAGGACTCAACCAACAAAGCATGGGATGTATTCTGGAAGAGCACGAGAGAAAAACGCTTATCAGGTCAGTCACAGGGGGCACTTATTCAAACTGATGCAAAATAAGGAGTGGAAGTGGCAGAAAATGAAAATAGATGTGCCCCTATTCCAACAGAAGAGGCACCTTACATTTATGGGTTGCACTTGTATGCCATTGTAGAAGGTCCTGGCTGTTGCTATTTCACTTGTGTTACCGAGTAGATGTCTTAGACTGATAGTCAAGTGTGGACACCAATTTGCTGATGTCCCAGATAGTCTACCTGAATTTCTACCGCTAAATATCCATATTGCTTTTCATTTTGCTAAAGTTTGAAGACACTTTCCTGATTTGGAGGCATTAAGTTTATCTAACTACGATAATCATAATTGATAGGAAATGAGACTGTTAATTCACAATAGAATTTCTCAAGCACCAAGAAACTACTTTGAATCAATTGTGCTGTGGTTTTATAATCTCTGATGGACTGATCTCTATACATGGCATACACATTCAGCACGTATTAGTGTGAGACAAGTATGTAATAAGAGTTGCATAATTTGGAATTCTGTCAAATTCTATATTGCAAAATCTGCTACATCCTATTTTCTGTGCACCCAACAAAGTTGTGACCATGAACAGCTGCAAGGACAAGCCCTGAAACAAATCTAATTTTTTTTCCGGGACCCAAAAAAGGGAATTAGTATCTTTTTGTATGTGAAACACAGTTTTTCTTTAGACTTTGGGCTTTGGATTAATTTGTTTTAATGTTCAGAAGCATATAGGCATGACAGAACATCTAAATGATTACTTGATAATGCAGAGACATATTGATATCCTGACACTCTAAACAAGGTGTGGGAATCCGTATTAACATAAAATCAACACTTGTGAAATATACTCAATATAAAGCCTATTCAAAGAACACTGCTGTTATTGGGAAAAGGAGTCTGAATTTTGCATTTCCAGCCTGACATTCTAGCGCAATAGAACATGCATGCTTCTTTAGAGGAAATAAATTATATATGATAGAGGAATAGGGCAAGTTTCTCCCAGAGCTTTGACTTCAAAGTTGTCAGGTTTGTGAATCAAGTTGGTGTAAAAGTTCTATGTAAATCCAGATTATATGAGGTTAGTCCTTCCCAGAGCTCTCTTCTTTGACTGTAAAATCTAGGAATGAGGCATGGCATATTTTGCACAATCAATACAGCATTACAAGGCAATGTTCAGACTGGGTTGTTTTCATGGGAATTTCTAATTTTATGAGGAGAAAAAATCCTCCTCTTTACCAGAGCCGGCCCAAGGTATGGGTCAACAGGGCTACCGCCCAGGGCGCCCCATTGTAGGGGGCGCCACGCAGAGCTGCTGGGCTGGGCTGGGGTGCAACCGTGCATGCTCTGTGCACCTGGGGCAGCACCCCGCATGCATGGGGCGGAGCCACGCATGCGCTGGGCGCCCGGGGGTGGAACCGTGCATGCGTCGCACTCCTGGGGGCGGCGCCGTGCTCCCGGGGCCCAGGGCGCACAAATGGCTCGGGCCAGCCCTGCCCTTTACTGAACTTTGGCTCTGTCCTGACTCTAGTGCAAGCTGATTTGTGTAACTGAACAAGAGCCTCAGATTTAAACCCTTGTTAGGGTTCAGAATCCCAAATTGAATCTTTTCTAGTGAATTTCTGCAAGCGTGCACTAATTCTCTCATGCCAGCCAGACAGGCCAAGTGTGAAAGGCATCTAGAGTAAATGACCCAGGAAGCTTGACTAAAATTAGTAATAAGACAATCATCAGTCTTTCAGTCTGGGAATCACCTGTCAGTAAGAGTCAGGTAAATGAACAAAACATGCAATAAAGAATCAGAAGATGAGTAAGACAAACTGGTACTCTCATTAGGCCTGCTTCTCACAACATCACAAACCCAGTATTAGTAGAGCTATGACAAATCTGACCTGCGTCGCTAGCCCTTATCCTTACACAAAGCAGGTAGTTGTTTGGATCCAGCCATTAAATGTTCATATTCAGAGCCAAAGTAGTCAGCCAGTGTAACCAATGGCAATACATCAGTTCACATCAGCTGAGGATTTGGTGCATTATCCTGTGATTACATGTCTTGCAAATGTTGGTATAAATATCTCTTTATTCCTCATGCACTTGAAGCACCGCTATGCTACACAACTGCATCTTAACAATATAACATTGTATTGCTCTGTTAGAGTTGTAGGGGTATCTTGAAGGATGTAAGTAAGGGTACAAGGAGCTGTGGTTCTAGGTCTGCTCCAGGTTTAATCTAGCTGGCGTGGATAACACCAGTAGCGAGAATGTGGTGGTGTGGATTAGCCACCTCAGTACAACCCAACTAGAGACTCTGGGAATGTACTTGGGTTGCTTCTCTGTGCCACATATCTTTACTGCTATGCTAGCTAGATTAAAATTAGCATGGGTATGTCTACCAGTACGGCAACCACACTTTCGTTTGTGGCATAGATGTGGCAGGGAATGGCAGGGAATGTTTAAATTCCAAGCACCTCCCAGGAACCGGTTTATAGTCAAACTCCCATTGAAAGCATGCCTGATTCTACACCTTGCAGCAATCTTACCTCATTACCTGACTACTACATTCAGGTCCCGTCTGGAATCATATGAAAAAAACCTCTTAAATTTCTCATATGAAAAAATATACCTATGTTTTATTTGGCCGAAAATGGGAATTTTTCAACCCTCTCACACAAACCCATGCACTGCTCTGAGAAGGGTTGCATCCTTTTCCAGATAGGACCAAAATTGTGAGGATCTACTCATAAGGGGAAAAAAGCCAGATTTTACTTTCTGAGAAACTCTTCTGAAAGAATTATAAGCAAGAAGCATGTAATTGATAGGGCAGCTGTACAGAATGCTTATACTGCAGTGTAAACACATCATTCTAGATGTAGAGCTTCCTGTTGAAAAGTCTCCTAATGTCCAGATCTGTTCAGATCAGGGAATTTTGACCCATCTTCATGGTGCTTGCCTTAAGATTTCCGTTTTTGCTGTAGATAATTAACCATATCTCAGCATCTGTAGCATCTCCTACATATTTCTTGTTTCAGTAAGTTTAATTGATATGTATCAAGCCAAGGCAAAATTGGGAAGCTTTTAAGCTAAATCGGCTTCCAAAATTTATTTTCTGTAATCCTAGATAAGTCCCAGAAATTCTATCCCTGCCCTTTTTTCTGCCTTCGTGTTTTGTTTAAAAGTATACATAAATGTTTTGAAATATAGCTGGCTGAGTCCAGCAAAAACAGTGCTTGGAAACTCTATCAAATGCAGAACAGCTGTGTATTCATGTCCTCTTAACTGTTGCTCATGTGACAAGGTGGTTGGTTGCATGGTGAACAGCCATTCCTACTCATTAGCACATATGTATTTTCATGCAAGCAAAGATATTCGTGAATGTATACTAGGGACTGTGTGTGTGACCAAGAGCAAATATCATGGCAAGTTTTCGTTTTTCTATTTGCATATTTTAAATTCTCCAGTTGGTTGACTGAAACAGAATGTGACTTATCTTCCATTCACATGCTGCAAATAGCCCAAGTTGGCAAGGAGCTCATAAATGAAACCTTGTGCATATAACCTACAGTGCAAATTCGTTTATTAGTCTAGCTGATGGCAGAGAAGGCCTGGAGACCACCAGTAAGTAATCTGAGGCTAGGATGGCCGGGAGAGTATAACATTTTTGGATGGTTAGCATGGATGCATCCGCACGTGCAACCCATCCTATGACTTGAGATCTTCTGTTATGATAGTTATACAAGTAGCATGGGACATACAGGCATTCCTATATAGATGTCCAATCCAAGACAGTCAATTTCCCAAAGATCTATATTTAGAAAAATACAATGCAAGGAGAATTGTTGTTGTTCCTATTGAGCTGTGTTCTTAGAATTCTTCCCGTGTCTCTGGATGCAGAAGTTCTGGACTTGGATTGCATTGTGTCGTTCACAGCCTCCCTCATACTGTATGTGAAAGCCATCAGTACAGATTTCAGAGACACCAGAATTCCTCTCATATATTTATTGGAACACGTGGCAATTGCAAATTACCGCACTGGCAACCATTCAAATGTATCAGATAGCAAGAACATCTCCAAGGAGGGGGCAAAATCTCCCAGCTGTTAAGCTTATGCGCCATGGAGGATAAAGAATAGCAATAAGTGAAGCAGTTGAGGTTCATGTAAGTAGTAACTGGAGCACATCAGACCTTTACATTCCTTACAAGTCTTTATTGGATGTTAAAAGTAACAGAAGCAGTGTAAAATCATTTACAATCAAAGTTCTTAGACTGTATGTTAACAGGTCCAAAGGGACATTGTTATTGGTCCATCCATACTGATAGAATGGTGGGGTTAAAATCTGAGAAGTAACTTTAAAACTGGCATTTTCTTACTCCATTTCTTCCGGTGGGTATTCAGGCACTTCTGACTGTTTTATCGATGAAAGCGTATTCATTCCGTCAGTATTGCAGAGAAGGGATCTGGAGTCTATTCTGGCTTGTGTTTTCCCAGGTCTAGCATGGATCTTGGTCAAACCATTTGCCCTTTTTGTACCTAAGGTCAGACTTGATGATCATAACAACCCCTTCTGACTTAACAGATATCCGGTGGGTATTCAGGCACTTCTGACTGTTTTATCGATGAAAGCGTATTCATTCCGTCAGTATTGCAGAGAAGGGATCTGGAGTCTATTCTGGCTTGTGTTTTCCCAGGTCTAGCATGGATCTTGGTCAAACCATTTGCCCTTTTTGTACCTAAGGTCAGACTTGATGATCATAACAACCCCTTCTGACTTAACAGATAGGTGGATGA